TCATGAAGATTTGTTATCTTTGCAATAATTTCTTGGGGTGCTCATAAACTAACCATTATCTGTGTTTTGTATTCAACACTGTTCTAGGTTCATGCATCTCTTTGTAATTTGTATTCAACTGTTGTCCCCCTTTGTCAATGAGGCAATATATCTCAGAACCCCCAGTAGATGCCTGACATTGTGGACAGTACCAAACCCTATATATGACAACCTTTTTCCTATTCTTATACACCTGTGATAAGGTTTATTTAAGGAGAGTTAATGATTACCAACAAAACCCATAATAAAATAAAACAACTATAATATACCATATTAAAATTTATTTAAAACATGAATTCGTTTCTGGAATTTTCCATTTATTATTTTCAGACAGTGACTAACTGTGGGTGACTGAAATGGTGGAAAGTGAAACCACAGTAAGAGGGGGACCACTATGTAATGAATTCCCATTAGCTAACTTCACAGCTTTTAAAATTTATTTTCTTTATTATTTTAATTTTTGTGTGTGAGTGTATTGCCTGCATGTGTGTAAGTGTATCCATGTCATGCAATGCCTGTGGAGGTCAGAAGAGGGGGTTGGATTCCCCTGGAACTGGAGTTATGGATGGTTGTTAGCTGCCATGTGGGTCCTGGGAACCAAAACCAGGTCCCCTGCAAGAGTTGCCAGTGATCTTAACCACTGTGTTTATTATTAACTCTCTACCCCCCTGTGTTTATTATTAAAAAAAAAAAGACTCTAGGTACCCAAAGAGACCAGATGACTACAGATTCTTTAAGAGAAATAGCTGGGAGTTGTCTGAAGGCAGTGCCTGGGTCTCTTGGCTGTGGTGGGAGCAACAATGGGCACAGAGCGTGGCTGGAGAGTCCTGGGTAGCAGGAGCAGGAAGAAGAGGACCGGATACCAGCCATCCCAGGGAGAGAGAAGAAGGTTTCTGATCCCTCCCTGCGCAGTGCACCTGTGTGACTGGCTCTTCCCTGTGATGTCACACAGTGTTGCCCCGGCGACCCAGAGAAGTAGAAAAGCTCTGTATTTTCCCAGGATTTGGAAAAGCGAGGACTAACCCACCTCACCTTCCTAGGGGGGCCAAGAGTCAGTTCCCTAGCCCCCTGCCTAGTTAGACATGGCCCAGACCCCCCCAAGGCACCTCCATCTGCAAAATCTCTGACTTCTAAGAAAGATCCAGACCTCATCCACCAACCTTCCCTTCATCCAGTCCAGACCCCAAAGCTGATACATGATACCCTGGATACCACATTGACAAAGACTCAAGACACCTAGGCCACCTATCTGGTAGGACGGGTGCCTGATCACCTTCCCATACCCAGTACTGGACCTAACCTCCAGGACTGTTGAATGAACATTTCTACCTCAAGAGGATGGGACGAGAGAAGACAAAGGTGAGGTTGGGGCAGAGGCTGTGAAACTGCATGAACTCTCCTCATTCTATTTGTTCGCAGAGCCTGACAAAATCATTCCTTCTCTTTGGGCCTGGGTTTTCACTGCTGTGAAGTGGAACTGAGATGGTGATTTCCTGGACCTAGAACCAGATGGGAGTTGAAATGCAGTGTGCTCTAAGTTGGTATTGATTTGAACTGCCCTTGCCAGAGAGCCCACTGAGATCGCTTATCAGTATAATCCCTGGCATTGTATCCCCCAGTATTCAGAACAGTGTCTGGCACATAGTAGGTGCTCAGTAAAAAGTTGTAGCAGAACATCAATGCCCTGTCAGGGGTTGGGGGGCAGCGGGACCAGCATATCAGTACCATGAAATGCCAATAGCTCAGAATAAGGTCTTTGTTCTAGTTTGCCTTCAATTGCTGTGACAAAACACCAACCAATACCAACTTGGGGAGGAAAGGGTTTATTTTATCTTACATCTCCCAGGTCACAGTTCTTCATGAGGGATTCCAAGGTAGGAACTCAGGGCAGGAACCTGGAGGCAGGAACTGAAGCACAGGCCATGGAAGAACGCTGCTTACTGGCTTCCTCCTTTGGCCCCTGCTCAGCCTGGGCTCTTATACAATACAGAACAACCTGCCCAGGGGTACAACACCACAGTGGGCTGGGCCCTCCCATATCACTCAAAAATAAATAAAATACAACACCACAGACATGACCATAGGCCAGTCCAGTGGAGGCAATTCCTCAATTGAGGCTCCCTCTACCCACGTGTGCCCACACAGCATTGCTTACCTTTTGTTTGCTGGCAAAACCAAACCCATGACTGTACCACTTGCCTACAGGTACAGACCAAGGGCACACGGTGCTTGTTGATGGTGCACTCTTTACAGTTACACTTGGGGTAAATAAGCAAGGCAGCTGGGGTGCCCAGATTCCAATGTGGTTTTCATTTTCATTCCTCCTAATGTTGATGTCTTTGCTCCCCAGTGTTCTCTGCCCACAGCTGGCCCCTGCCCAGATGCCACTACCGTTTTTAAGCTGCACACACTTGGGACTAACTGGCTGTCAAGCTGGCCTGACCTGAGACCCTAAGCAAGTTCACACCTGCCCTGCCTAGGTGGATTTAGGGCCTTGGGCAGTGTGTGGAAGCCCTAAGGAGGAGCTAGGTCTGCTCCATTTGATAGGGAGCTTTAGAAATATTTGAATGGTTGGGCTGAGTTCTTCATACAGATATCCATAATGCATGAGTATTAGCATATATATACTACTGTGTCACATATTCATATTTCTCCTCTCTCTCTGTGTGTGTGTGTGTGTGTGTGTGTGTGTGTGTGTGCGTGTGTGTGTGTGTGTATGGACTTCAGAGGACAACTTTCAATAGCTGGTTTTCTTCTGAGAACCAGCTGTATTCAAAGCAAGGTCTCTCTTGTTTCTGCTTCCCTGCATACTCCAGGCTAGCTGGCCTGCAAGCTTCTGGACTATTCTCCTGTCCCCACCTCCCATCTTGCCTCAGGAGTGCTAGGATTACAGATGCATGTCACCTATCTGGCTCTGTACATGGATTCTGGGGATCCAACTCAAGTTGTCAGGTTTGTACAATGAGAGTTTTTACATGCTGAGCCACCTCCCTGGCCTGAGAGACCATTTTTAACCCCAGTACCCACCAGAATCTAATAACTTGCCCAAATGACACATCAGAGTGGCCAGACCCTTGTCTCCCAGTCCAGTGTCCCTCTTGGGGACCCAGCACAGCCTCTTCAGCTGCTGTGCTTTTAGATATAGACTCTTCTGGGAGGGAGAGGTCTGGGCTGCATAGCTTCTCATGGCTTCCCAGGTTGCTGGGAAGAGGGGATGGGTAAAGGAGTGGATCTCCTTCCATCTCTCTCCCCGGTAGAACCAACTGAAGCCCCCTACCCATTGGAGCTCTTTCACTGCCAATCTTTCCCTCCTACTCTTCCCCGTTCCCTTCCTCACACATCCAAAACCGCCCTGAGAAATAGGTATTCCAGGGTCCCCCAAGTCATTCACTGGCTACCCCTGGCTTATGGAGGGCAGGTTTGCTTGTATGAACAGACAAGGCCTTAGGATTTGCAGCTTCTCAGCCTGCCCAGGAACCAGGTCCTAAGGGACAACTGAGGGAACTGGGCTTGGGAATTGGCAGGCTTCAGTGCTCACCACCACCTGTGGGCTATGAGACCATGGCCTGCTGATTTCTGCACCCTTACAGTGTTGCACAGATGAGTGAGGGCGGGCCTGAGAAGCTGTGATGAGCATGTAGCTCTGTTCCAAGCTAGAAGACATGCTCACGGAAAAAGGATTCCCTCTGCAGGGCTCAGCCCACCCCACAGATGCAGTGCACAGCCTTAGGATGGTTTGCCCTCAACAACACATCCCTTCTCACCTTGTAACCAGGTATGTATAATTCCTGTTCCTTCACAAATTCCTCAATGTGGCCAAAAGTGGGACAGACAGAGCATTTTGGTCCTGATTCACAGAGACCTCTGAGGGAAGCCTGCAGTTTTCTATCCAGAGGTAAGAAGGAAAGAGGCAAAGGTAAAGGTTGGCAGTTCTGGCCCACAGTTCCCTTTACAAATCACATCCTTAGCTCAACCTCCCTGACCCTGGACCTAGCTTGCCCATTGGGCACATGCCTGCAGGCCTCACCAGGAGGCACCAGACTAGCAGCTGGCCCAGAAGTAAAGCACAAGCCATTCTTGTCCAACCCTCTGCAAGCTGTATTTCCTGATGCTGCAGAAGCTCAGAGGTGACAAGGAAAGAAGCCACACAACTCTTGGGCCTGCAGAGGCCTGGTGGGCTCCAGGGCTGCAGGACAGTCAGGGAGAACTCTTGGACAACTGCCTTGCTATGGATGGGCCTTCACATCTATGGCCCTTGGGGGTCCATGACAGGCCTGTGCCCTCACAGTGGCAAGGGAGTCCATCTAGCACTTCAAAGGACAACAGTCATTCGTCACCTCTCCTGGCCTAACTGCAGGGAACTTTAGACACACCAACCCCCGGGAAAGCTAAATCACAAACAATTCCAAATACTCACTGGAAACTAGAGGAACAGGCTCAGAGAGGTAGTATCTCAGAGAGAGGAGGAGGTTTTAAAATCTAGGTCTCTTGACTTTCAGGCTGCTGAGTATGGCTCTTATACCCACAAACCCAGGAGAGCAAACCTACTGAGTAGGGCTTGTTATGGCAGGGCGCACAGTGGGGGTGGCACACTGGAAGGAAGCGCTCTGACCTAGGGGAGGCAGTGGTCTGTGAATGCTCTCCCCTCACCCCTCTGGCAAGGCTCCCTTCCTTCCACCCACCCTAGCCAGGCAGGAGAGTAGAGGAGGGAGTAACTCTCATCAGCACCTCTGCAGATGGTGACAGACCTGCTGGATCCTAGTGGAGGAGGGGAAGGTTCTCTCCTAAGTCACAGGCAGAAGGGGGGGTCTCTACAGAAGTGGCATATCTAGGGTTGGAGGAAGCATGTTCTCACCTCCTAATGAGGCAACTTGTTAGGCTGAGACCACAGCCTGCAGCAAGTGAGAAAATAAGCCAAGGAATACAGGGCTTGGTGACATCTGGGAAAGAGCAGGCAGTGGGAATACCAGCCCTTCCCCTTCCTTGTGCCAGGAGCCAGGAGGGCAGAAACAGGGTAGTGATTCCAGACCAGCTGGCTCCAGCCCTCATCGTCTCACAGGATAGATGTGAGGTGACAGGTGGCCTGAGGTGAAATTGAAGTTATGGGAAAAGAAGAGGAAGGTGGCAGTTGCTAGGACCTGAAGAGTAGGTGGCACTGAGGAGATACAGACAGAGGTACCTGCTGAAGCAGAAGTTTAGGGGGAGACTGGACTTGCAAGGGGAGGTGAACTGTCTCCTGCTGCAGGAAGAGACGGGTGCCCAAGGCTGGGGAGAAACCAGAGAGATCAGGGTGGGGGTTGGGAGGATGGATATACAGTGTGTGAGACAGAGACAGGGAAAGAACAGCTTCACTGTTCTGTAGTTCAGATGGCAGGAAGATGTTACAGAGGGGGGAAAAAGTACTTGGAGGAAAAGCTAGAACAGTAGGTGGGTCCAACCTGTGCCCCGCAGGCAACATCCAGCCACCTGCAGCCAAGGGTATCCATGAACAGCAGCTCAACACAAAATGATAGACTTACTTAAAACATTGTAAGGTTTTTTAAAATTTTTCTTTTCTTTTTATTCCTTATGACTATGGGTACGAAAGCAGGTGGATGTGCGCCACAGCAAAGGTGCAGAAAGCAGAGGAAACTTTCAGGAGTTAGTTTTTTCCTTCCACTGTGGAGCCTGACGCTCAAACTCAGATCGTTACTCAGCAAGCACTCTATCCTGCCTGCTGGTCATCTCACTGGTCCTTTTGGTGTTTTTTTGTCATGTAGCCCAGTCTGGTCTTGAACTTGCTATAGAGCTAAGGCTGAATTTGAACTTCTGATCTTCCTGCCTCTACTTTCTGGGAATATAAGGGTGTACCCCCATGACTGGTTTTTATGAAAATTCTTTGATTTTTTTCTTTTTTTGTAATTTGGTTGCATGGCTCTCAAGTGTGAACTTGGTAGATAATAGAATTTTTTCCCCAGTGTCAAAAAACTGGACATGCCTATTAGAGGTTAAGGGGTGGCAGTAAAGGAAAGTGCTACATCAGAAGAGACACTTAGCCCTGTCTCTCCCCACAGGTCCCCGAGGAAGCAGAGGACCTCCTGGATGCCTCCCAGGACCCCGTGCCTGACACCAACCACCTGGCTCCCTCCAATAAGGAGACTGTCATGGTCACTCTACATGGAGCTACCAACCTTCCCATGTGCAAGGATGGCTCTGAGCCACAGCCCTATGTGGTGGTGTAAGTAGCTACAGAAGCAGGGGTGGGGCTGGGCTGTGAGCAGAAACCATCTGACAAGTATTAGGAAAAGGAGCCCCTGAAGGGACTGTGGTACCCAGAGATGTCACAAAGAGGCTGTGGGCTCTGCAAACAAGAGGCCTGCTGCTCTCTGCTATGTGGGATCTGCTGCCAGGACTGAAGAGGGTATAATCTTACCTCTAACCTGGGCAGGGTCCTTGTCTGTAGAGCCTAGCCTGTGTTCAGTCATGGGGAAGGGTGGTAATGGTCAGGAGAAATGTTATAGGTGTGGGTTTGAGTTCCAGGGCACTAGAGTCTCTAGGTTCTTATGTCACAGGACAAAGAATTGAAGTAGGGACACATAGTTAGAAATAGAGATTGTTTATTAAGAAAGGGAGCAGGCTAGTGAGCTGAGGGTAAAGTCCAAAAAGTGTTGGGCTGCAAAATGCATGATTCCTTTATCAGGTATTTGCATAGCACCCACCTCTCTGTGCTATGTTTGCATAGCACAGACTGGTTTTTTTTTTTTTTTTTTTACACATGCTCTGTTTGTCAGATGATGCCCAGGTAGACAAGGGCTTCCAGTCTTTTTGTGCCAACTGGGTTTTTTTCATACATTAATCTTTCTGCTGTAGCTTTCTTAAGCCCCTACTCACCTGTCATAGAAAGACTTGGAGTCTGCCTCTCCTGGCTTCTGAGGGCCCAAGAGGCTGTGCTGCTCACAGCCACTCTCCCATGGGCCCTCACCTATCCCCAGTCACTTCTGTCATGGGGTGTCTAGTCCTTTAATGCTTACCTCATATGCAAGCCCCCAGTTGCTGTGCTGACACTCTTCTCCAGTCTAGAAGCCAGGGCCTTCCATGCCATGTGTGCTGCCCACCCCATGAGCCTCACTTCCCTTCAAAAGGCATCATGAGGTCAGATGGTGGCTGGCCAGCCTTTGCTCTGGGGGTTGAACATAGGTTGACTTGATTGTAGAGCACTGTGCCAGTATACAGACATTCTGTGCAGCTGTGACCTCCAAGGTGCTCTGACAACTCTCCTCCTGCACCACTGCCCACACCAGGCACTTTCTGGCCACTGTTCCTTTGGGGATAACCTGCCTCAGCCCTCTCATGGATAACAGACAAAACTTCACCTTCAAAGCCTTGCTCATGCCACCTCCTCCAGGCAGTCACCCGAGTACAGCCCCAAGCAGTAGCAACACTGGTTTGAAATACTTTACATGATGTGGGTTTTTTAATATTTTATTATTTATTTTATGTGTATATTTCCTGCATGTATATAAGTGCACCCATGTCATACAAAGCCCATGAAGGTCAGAAGAGGGCATCAGATCCCCTGGAACTGGAGTTACAGATGGCTGTTAGCCACTGTGTGGGTGCTGAGAACCAAACCCAGCTCCTTGACAAGAGTAGTCAGTGCTCTTAACCACTGAGCCATCTCTCCAGCCCCAATATATAATGTGGTTTATGTATTCCTCTTCTGTTCCCAGACTTGGGCCTTCTTGAGTATCCCAGGTCTCATTCTCCATTTCTCTAACAATGAGCTGAACATAGGCACAGACTAAGAAGCCAAAGCCTGTCTAAGATGGTGAGCAGCCTTTTCACAGGAAAGGAACATAGAGGCTTGCTGGAGACCAACAGGTGAAGCACTTGTCACTTGCCTGGTGTGTGTGTGTGTGTGTGTGTGTGTGTGTGTGTGTGTGTGTGTGTAGTCCCACCAGCCCCAGCCCAGCTCCCTGTCCTCCCCTCCCCCAGCTCTTTTTCTGCTTGAGGGAAGGACAGGTGGCAGAGAGCTGGCTTGGCGGGAGGCTGGTTTCTACTGGAGCGCTTCCCTTCTCCTCTCAGATATTTCCATAAACCAATTATCACTGATCATCTCAGGAGATTGAGGCTCTGCTTGTCACCAATCCAGCCCCGGCTATAGAGGGGTAGGTAGCTGTGTTGCTCCAGGACCTTATACCATCACTCTGTTGCCATGGGAACATACAAGGAAGGGAGAACCTAGATGACCCAAGCCTGGGTGGGAGTGTGGAGAGGTGGGCTCATCCAAGACCCCCTGACCCAAAGGCACAGTGTGTGGGGTGGGGGTGGGGATACAGTGCATCCCTACTTCCCTTTCTGTGCTAGAAGCAGAGTGTGGGGCTCCTAGCTGAGCTGCCAGTCCTCCAAGTAGTGATAATGAGATGCAAATGAAAAAGGAAAGGGGGGCTTCTGGGAATGAAGGCCCAGCTGTCAGGACCCTGAGATGGCTTTGAGTGCTAACCCCCAGCCCCAGGCAGGAACACTCAGAGGGAGGGCCAGGAACTCCCAAGGCCCTAGACCCAGGCCCTAGACCCTAGAAAGAATTTGATGTCTTCCTAGGTCTGATTACAATACACAATAACAAAGCATGCAGTTTAAAAAGTCCACTAAAATATTCATCTTTGTCAAGATGACTATTTCGATGTATCTTTTTTAGAAAATAAACATTCAAATGTAAAATGTGAAACTGTTAAGACCTAGAAGAAAACAGTTCTCCGTAGGATTCTTACATTGGTCTTGGCAATGACTTTAAAATTTGATGCCAAAAGTATAAGCAATGAAGGCAAAAATAAACAAGCAGGAAGCGGTCATGCTAAAAAGCTCCGTACAACAAAGGAAAACAATTGCTGAAATGAAAACGCGACCTACGGAACAGGAGAAAATATTTCCAGGCCATGTGTCTAGTAAGGAGTTAATATCCAAAACATATGAAGAACTTATATAGCAGAAAACAAAATTGATTTAAAAAAGTTCAAAGGGGACTAGGAATGTAGCTTAGTGGTAGATTGCTTGTCTAGCATGTATTAGGCCCTGGGTTTGATCCCCAGAATCAACACACACACACACACACACACACACACACACACACACTTTCCCCAAGAAGGCATACAAATGAGCTGGGAATGCGGCTGAGCTGACAGAGTCCTTGCCTAGCATACATGAAACCCTGGGTTTGATCTCCAGCACCACATAAGCCCAGTGTCCGTAGTGCACACCTGTAATCCCAGCACTTGGAAGATGGAGGAGGATCAGAAATTCAAGATCATACTTGGCTACATAGTAAGTTGAAGGCTAGCCCAGGCTATGAGACACCCTGAATAATAATATAAAAAGACACATAAAGTGATCAATGGGTGTAGGAAGCCATACTCATCATCCCTACTCATGAGGGAAATGTTAATCAAAACCACAAGGACATCCCACCTTGCATTTGTTGGGATGGCTGTTATCAAAAAGACAAAAAGTATTTAGTATTGGGGCCAGCAAGATGCCTTGCAGAGTGAAGGCACTGTGTCCAGGCCTGACAACCTGAGTTCAATCCCTGGGACAACCATATGGTGGAAGGAGAGAACTGACTACTGCAAATTGTCCTCTGACCTCCACATATGGACCATGGCATATGTGTCCACATACATGTACACAGAGGCACACACGGGCACACAAATTAAACAAAATGTAATTTAAAAAGCAAGTGTTGGTGAGGATGTAGAGAGAAGGGAATCTTTTTACATTATGACTAGGAATACAAATCAGTATAGTCATTATGGAAAACAGTATAGTGGTTCCTCACATTTAAAAATAAGACAATTATATGGTCTGTCAACCCCACTTCTGGATATATATCTAAAGGAAATAAAGTCAGTATCTTGGGGCAATATCTGTGTCCCTATATTGTTATAACATTATTCACATGAAGATGTGGACTTCTAAGAGTTCCTCCATCAATGAATGGGGAAATACGATTATATAATATATATGTAATTCAGTCATATGTAACTTTATCTAAAATAGATGATCTTGGAAGACATTGTGCTAAATAAAATAAGCCAGTCACAGAAAGACAAATACCATATTATCTCATTAATGTGGACTCTGAGTTGAACCCACAAAAGCAGAGTTGAATAGTGTGAGGGACTGGAGATGGCAGAAATAGGGAGATGTTATCAAAGAGTCCAAAGGGTATAAGAGGAATACTTTTGGGGGAATTTACTGTGCTGCATGACAACTATAATCAATAATACTATATTGGCTACTTGAAATGTTGTGAATGAATTTTAAATGTTCTCACAATATACACAAAACCAGGGTAACTACATGAAACAAAGGATGTGTTAACTTGATTACATGGTACTATTCACAGGAGAAAGTATATCAAATCATAATGTACACTCAAATATATATTATTTTTATTTTCCAATTATACCTCAATAAAGCCAGAGCACACACACACATATATGTATATATATAGATATATTAACAAACCACTCACTCATCTGTTCCATTAGTAGGAGTTGCCGAGGGTTCAGGGCCAAAGATTGGGCCTTCCTCTATCCAAGCAGTCAGCTTCCAATGTGACCCCACTACTCCATGGCAATAGCTTGCTCTCTCTCTCTCTCTCTCTCTCTCTCTCCCTCTCTCTCTCTCTCTCTCTCTCTCTCTCTCTCTATCCCCCCCCCCCCTCTCTCTCGGAGGAGGTTTCACCTGTCTTGAACTCTTTCTTGTTATACAGCCTGCAGCTATGCACATGGACTCATACAGAGATGTATGTGTAATTTTTCAGTAGATATTGAACAATATGTTTCCCTCTGGGTTTTTACACCAGCTAGGCATTATTTATCTCCTCTCTCTCTCTCTCTCTCTCTCTCTCTCTCTCTCTCTCTCTCCCTGCCTCGTCCCTCATGGTCACTGTGCCTCACTTATTCCAGCAGGCATCTCATCTGTGTGGTCTTCCAGTAGCGCTCTCCCCTGGTGACCATTCAGTCTTCAGAGCTCTCCCTTCTCTTGGTTCCCTCTTCCCCATTCTTTTACTTCCGCTCTGGCCCTGCTCCTCATCCCTTCTACCCAGCACTAAATGCAGGCCTCTCATATCTCCACCTAGGCTGCTCCTTCTTAAACTCATCCCCATTTCTAGCATCAGAAATCATATTTTGTCCCATCCAATCTATGACTAAGAGCATCACTGCATCACTGTCTCTCTCATTCCTTGAATTTAGCTACTGCTCTCCACCAGCCTCCACCATCCTCTTAGGCTACTATGTTATTTTTCCATCTGATCTTGATACATTCAATCTTGACCCTTTGCCAGCCTCCTTCTGTGGCCCTGTTCTAGCTTTCTGTGTGACTTTGGGAAAGTTGCTTCACCTCTCAATACCTAAATGCCTCATGTGGGAATCAACTTGAAAGTGCTTTGAAGATAATAGGGCCAGGTGATGGGTGATGCTGGCATTTTTAACATAAGACTCAGGGTCAGGAGGCGTCTTAGGCAGACTCCCAGTGAGCACATGAGACCCACCAGAAGAAAGCCATGGGGTAGTAGAAAGAAGCTGAATTGGAGTCAGGGAGACCCAGAGTCTCACCCACTGCCCCCTGACTTCCTGTGTGACCATCAACCAGTCCCTGACCTTCTCTGAGCTTCAGTCTTCTCAAGACCTCCTAGGATATGAGCTTTGGCCTCCATGTTGATACAGGCCTGACAGGCTGATTTGCTCTCTTTCCTTGGAAATGTCTGTTCTTTAGAGCCCCAGCTGTACTATACAAGGCAGATTCTACACATAGGTCTTCTGGGCCAACATCCAGGCCCTGGGTGTCTCCTGACTTGTCCAGTGGCCAGCACTTGTTTACCAGCCTGGCACAGAAAGACCTGCCAGTCACAGCCCAGCAGGGACCAGGAAGGCTGTGGCCCTGACAGGTTGGAGTACCCTAATGGGTAAGACAGGGGACCATCGGGAGATGGCCTGTGGATTCTGACCCCTGGCCAAAGGCTGGTGAAGGGCTGCCATTTGTTGCCTTGGCCGCCTGCTGCCCTCAGCTAATGAGTGGGGACAAAGCCAGTACTGGGCAGGGCAGCGCTGCTTCCTCTGTGTGTGTGGCCAGCCCTGGCTTAGCTGGGTGGAGGGTGAGGCACAAGTCATGGCTGGGCAGTCATAGGTGAGCCCCAACCCTGGCCCCACACTGACCCTGACCTTGGTCATAGGTGGCTCTGACCCTGGTGACTAAATAGAAAAGACATTGAAAGCAGACATTGGAGGGTCTAAGAAGAGTTAAAGATATGCCTGGCAAATGTGCTCGAAGAATGTATGTGTTTCATAGCCCCTTTTATATCCCCTTTTAAAGATGAAGTTCCTGTGACTCAGAGTATTTCCAGGATGTTCAAGGCCACATAGCTAGTTGAGTCCCTAGGCAAGATTCCAAAATCCAAAATCCTTTCCACCTCCCTACCACATAGATCTTTCATGCAGCAGTTGCCCCTCTTGGTGGGGGACTATTGACATCAAGGTCCTAACCCAGTCTTCCAAAAAATACAGTGACCATCCTGGAGAGCCCTCTTAGGCTCTGGACTTCCCCCTCCTCCCTTTGGCCACCAGGTCCCAGAGGACAAGGATCTGAGCAGAGAGGGTGGAGGCCTGGGATGACTCATAGGGTTGAGCTTTGCAAAACTCATAATAATAGTGACCTTCTTGGGGAGCAGTCCCAGGAAAAAAGTAGCCCCCATGTATGACTTTGTCCTGCTCTGAGCTCATAGGCAACTTACCTAGCCCATATCTTGTCTAATAGAGTGGCCCTGAGAGGGACGTGGTGTCCCCATGCAGTAGTCAAGAAAGCTGAAGCCTGGGGGAGTAAAGGGACTGGGCTGTGGTCATTGACTGGCAGTAAAGCAGTTAAAGATGGCAGTTCCCATTTAGCCACTGGCTCTAACAGAGACCAAGGCTCCATCCAAGAAGGATGCCCCTGGGAAAAGAAACAGGGCTGGAGAACAGGCCCTGGGTGAGGCCTGGGACTCAATCATCCTACAAGCTCCCAGCCTTGTAGCCTGATTTCCTGCTCACACCTGCTCCACATGGCTTTGCTCCCTCAAGGCTCAGAGCCTTCGAATTCTTGTTCACTGAGAACCTCCCTGTGTCCCAGAACTGTAAACACAGATGGTGATAGTGGTTAAAGGAGAACTTGCCCAAGAACCCCCATACAGACTGCAGTTGCAAGCATTCTTTCCAGATGTTCCTTCATTGGTTCTACACAGGGCCCCTGACGTCTTGACCTGAAATGAACATTAGGTCTCCAGAGTATGAGCTCTCTCTTCAGCCCACTGGACTTCTGAGGTGCAGCCTAGAAGGCAAGGCTTCCCAGCAGAAGTAAGGGTGCCTAGGAAGAGGGGAAGCAGTGAGTCAGGCAAGGGCCTTCCCAGGGTCCTCACACACAATGCACGAGCCAGCTCCTTAGCTTATTGCTGAGATGTACAGAGTTGCTGCCAGGCTTCTCCCCCACTGAGCATCATGGGCAGCCAGGAGCTTGGTCTTCCTTCCTAGCTTTGCCTGACCTCTGCCCACACCCCTATGGGCTTCAACAGCAGGTGCTTCATGGTCTAGCACTTAGCAAAGATGGAAGGAGGCCACCTGGCAAGGGCTGGCCTCTGAGTCCCAATTCAGTTCCACCTGCCCTTGCCTCCTCCCTGTGTCTGTCATCTTCCATCCAACCACACAATGTTCATCAGAAGGGGTTCCATTAGCAATGCCAAAGTCCATGCTTTCAGGCTCAGACCAGTGAGATAATCCCAGAGTCAGCAGTGTGTGATACAATAGGGCATAGAAGGGCTTGGGGAAGTCAAGGGCCCTGGCTTCTTCAGAGCTAACCCTAGTCTCTACCTTGCTACTTTCTGACTTGGAGGAATTGGGACTTGGCTTGTCAACTCTGTTTTTCAAAAGAAGCCAGACACCTGTATTTCTGTGTGGAATCCACCAATGTTTACATTGCAGGCCAAACAGCTCCTCTGGTCAGTTAGGCTCTCTCCGCTGGCCCGTTGTCATCTGCCACCACTCCCTTCCACCCAATAGACTCAATCCAAATTTGCTGGCTTTTCTTCTTTTCTGAAGGTAGTGATTTCCCCCGACTCTGTCCTCTCTACTTGCTTGAATAGGCACCCCCTCCGTCCCCTGCCTCTTGAGGCCTCCTCTCTCCTCACTTCCAGGATGGCCTGATTCCCTCCCCTGTTTCAGGCCACTCCTCTAGTCCCCATGCCTGCAAATACTGGTGATCCCAATTCCATCATGACCTCTTCTCTGTGCCCCTTCTCCCCTTGGGGTCTCCTTTGCCCCAGGCCTTCTCACACCACACTCGGAAAGCTCCAGAGCCCCTGGATCCAGTTAGGGCCTCTCCTCAGCCCTGTGTGTGGCCGCAGGTACAGCCTTCTCATTCCACCTTTAAAGCACCACTTGCAGGGGCTGAGTCAGAAATGTTTGGGGAACGAGTCTCTGGGTCTGTAGCAATGGAGCCAGGAACCAAGACTCAAATCAACAACTGTGTACCCGAACCCTAATCCACCTCTCTGGTCTTCAATTGGACCAGCTTACAATGCTCAGAAGGCTGTGAAGTTTATCTCTGGGAAGGATAGAGGGTAAAATCTCTTCCAAGTTCCAACGAAAAGGGGGCTACAGGCATAGGAGAAGGCCTGATAAGCATGACCCAGTCTTCTCAGGCATCTCTGGACCTAAGGACAGTATTCTGGGTGCTCTGTGGGGTTTGGAGGAGTAGGGCCTGGGGACTAACTCAAAACTGTAGCTGGGTCTCTGAGGATTGCCCATGTGCCCAGTAGAAGCAGAACCAAGATCCAAGATGGAGCCCTGTGAGGAAAGGCCAGGATCAGGGCTGAACCTCTGAGGAAGCCCAGTCCCCACGGCCAGTCTCTGCTTCCCCCACTTTAGGGATACTCTATTGGGACAGTCCAAGGTGGCTGGGAGCAGCTGCAGTATAGGCAGGGTCCCAGTGTCTGAGCTGGAACTGCCCAGCAGAACTGCAAGGGAGGGGCTGGCTCTGTCTCTACATGCTTTTTCACAATCATCCTTCCTCATTTGCACACTCTAACTTGGGAACCCTCTGGTGCAGGCTGTGAGATAGAATCTGAGCATCTGAAGTGGCCAGTCAGGTCCTACCTCTGAAGTCAGTGGTGTGCATGGTAGGAAGGCGCTAGTAAGCAAACAAGTGATACTGTCCCCACTCACTTGTCATCTACCCACATTCTCCCCAGAGGACAGCTGAACAGGTTCTAGTCCCTAGCGCTTGGGTATCAGGACTGCTCAGGGAGGCTCTTGAGGAGTGGCAGGGAGATACCACAGACCTCAAAACTGGGAAGTAGGTAAAGAATAATAATTCTGACCATTCATGAAGAACCCTGAGGCTGGGAAGTTTGCCTCTGTGTCTGGTCTGGGTTCCTCCTGTGCTAAGGCTGCCTACAGAAGCAAGTGGGTACCTAAGAGTGGTGGTTCAATGATGTGTTGAGAGACTCCCAAATCATGAGACCTTCTAAAGTTGTCTCACCCATGCCCACATCTTACCACGGGGACTGCCATTCCATTCTCATGGGACTTTGGTGCTGACAGGTAGCCCTTCCTCCTTCCCCTAAGAAGATGGCTCCCAGGAACCTCTCCAGGTCTGCCATAGGAGAGATACTCCAAAGGCTGGTAGATAGTGCAGCAGGAGCAGTTCCTCTTGGCCCTGCAATGTCCCCAGCTTCAAATGGAGACAAAAATGTCTTTGGAAAACAAGAAAGTTCCCTTTCTAGAAGACGGCAGACAATGGCATACAGGGGTGGGTCTAACTTTACCTCAGACACTGAGCTCTGTGCCATGGTTCTGTCCTAGACTGTCCCTGCTTTGGCAGCTGAGTGCCATGGGCATGGATGATGTACCCACCCACCCTCATGAAGGGCTCCTCTAAGAACAGCTGAAGTAGGAAAGGGATGGGGTGGGGTTCCGAAGTCTGGTTTTTGTTTTTTTGGAGGGGAGGAGCTTTTTGAGACTGAGTCTCACTTATTGGACCTTGGCTGGCCTGGAACTTATTATGTATACCAGGCTGGCCTTGAACTTGTAGTGATCCTCTCCTCCCAAATTCTGGGATTATAGGCACCACCACATCCAGCCTAAATTTTAAAGAGTTTTGACTTGGCCAGAGTTCCTTTCTTATTCTAAAAGTTACACTACTCTCTTCAGAAGGCAGAGCTAGATCTCTATGGATCAGAAAGCTCTGTTCTCAACTCATACCTGCCTGGTTCCAGAATCAGCTACTCTGTGGAAAGACGCCCACCAGAAGTGTTGTTACATCATTAGCAATTAGTGACAGCTCATAAGACTGCAATTGATCAATGAGACCCAGGAAAAGAGCCCAAGATAATAACCTTACCTCACTCCCTAAGTGACAGACTAGTGAGCTGGGAAGCTACAAGGACCTGAGCAGCATTGAGGTCAGGAGGGGGGTGCATGGAGTAAGGGGTATGTGACTGTTGGGCTGAGTCTGAAATGGGAGAGAGGTGAGAAAGGACTTCAGGCTGGACTCCCTGTGCCTCAGATCTTGGCTACTCTTCTCTTTGAGAAGCCCCTAAGAACAACTTCTTGCCCAGTAATCCCACAGGCTTAGTCAAAGCCAAAGGTATGAGGACTCTTCTTTTCCTCTATATGGCTTCAGAGAACCCTGCAGGTGGGCCTGGAAAAAGGAAGGGGTCCAGAGAAGACTCAGTCAGGAGACCCATAAGCCTGAGTGCCTCAACCTGTCAAGTTGGTATCAGCTAGTCACCCTTCCTGTGACTTGCCGTGAGCCCACTCCTGGCTTTCTGTAAGCCTCCAAGGATTCCAAGTGGAAAAGATTCTCCTCATCTCTAGGCTCGTCTCTAGGATTCTCGCCTCCTCCAGACACCTTCCTTCACTGGCCCTAGGAGGTAGGCTCCCAGGAGCTAACCAGAACCTTAGCAGCCAGAACAGACCAGACTTGAGTCCCTCCCTTTCCTTTGCTCTCCTGGTGCCGATCCTGGAATTGGAACTTAGGATAAGCCAGGCCCTCTGTGAAGTTTGTGCTCTGACTAAGGGAAGTGGGAGGTCCAGAGGACTGGCAGCACAGGTTCGGGAAGTGGGCTTAGATGGGACCAGCAGACCAAGAGACACCTGAGGCCCAAAGACAACCAGGTTAGTAAGAATGGGTATAGGGTGGGAATGGGGGCACCAAGGAGATGGCTCAGTCAATAAGGTGCTTGCCATGCAAGTTCAGATCCCCAGCACTCACATAAACACTACAATGCCAGTAACCCCAGGGCTGGAGGTACAGAGACAGGAGGATGCCTAGGGCTTATTGGTCAGCTAGTCTAGCCAAATCTTTTTTGAGAGACCTATCTCAAATAAGAAAGTAAAAAGAGATAGAGGAAGACACTCAATGTCAACCTCTGGCCTCCCATATACAGCCATACAGGTGCATGTGTGCCACACTCATGTGTGCTTATTCATGTGTATGACACATGAGTATAGTGAAACATACAAACCTCAGAAACAGTGTGTGTGTGTGTGTGTGTGTGTGTGTGAGAGAGAGAGAGAGAGAGAGAGAGAGAGAGAGAGAGAGAGTGTGTGTTCTTACATGTGTGCAGGCACACATGCACATGCTCATGCTCCAGCCCACATCCATGTCAGCTGCTTTTCTACTCCTCCTACACAGTGTCGGCCCCTAGGAAGCAGCATGACATTTTCCCTTAGTCATGACCTTGCAGATAAAAAAGCAAGCTGTTTTTTCTCATCCCCTCCCACTCACAGCTGTGCTTGGACCTGGCCCTTCCTCCCATGCTGGGGTGGGAGCCCCAGGTCATACAGGCTTGGGACTGGAGTTTGTCAAAGACATGCACCACCTTTTGCACCTCAGGAGAGGGGTAGGCCTGGTTATAGGGAGGGAACGGATTACATTTTCCTGAAGTTTGGGGCTACCCCTCTGCATCCAACCCCAGTCCTAGCCTGCTGGGACTAGATTAGGTCTGAACTCTGAGAAAACAGGCCCCAGCTCCTCCAGCCCTTGACTGAAACCACTGGGTTATTTAGCCAGGGCAGGGCTTTGGGGTTAGGGAGGAAGAAGCCTTAATCTGTACAGACAGCTCAAAGATTTTAGAGAAGGTTTTAAAGAAGAGCCCTGGGCCCTGAGGTTGTACTGGGAGTCCTGAGCAACCTCTGAGCCTGGGGACCTAGAACTCAGCCCCATGCTCTGCTGGCAATGTATAATGGGGACAGAGAATTGGGAGTGAGCAGAGCCCCCACCCCTTGCTCTCCAGTTTCTAGATTCTCATCAAGGCCCAGAGGAGTCAGCAGTGCCAGGAAAAGCCATTACCCTGACAGGCTCTCCCCCACCTGCTAAAAGCTTCCTCCCTTCCCACCCCTGAGGCCTCGCCTTCCCCTTGATTCATCTCCCTCACCTGCTCTGACCATCTCTTTGTGGGGGATGGGGGGGAAACCTAGGGGCTACTTAACTCTTTCTGGTCCTGAGGGAAAGTCCTTGGCCTTTATCTACCTTCCCATATCTTTAAATATCTGTGTTCCTCCTACAAACCACCCAGAAACTTGAATAGAGGAGAGAGATCAGGGCCTGGAGATTGGAGGTAGAAGACTCAGGAGTAAAGACAGGCCATAATGGGTTCCAACCTCAATCCTGTCGCCTTAGTTTTATCTTTTCCATGCATAATTTCCCAGGAACCCCAAAGGATGAGTCCATGTGGGGGTGGGTTTGTGACATTTGAAGTGAAGGACAGCTTTCCTTACCCACCCTTAGCGCGCCCACCTTTCTGCTGCCACCGCCACTCTCTTCCTCTGTCTCTGTTAGAGGTACAGAGCCCTGGTGGGGGAGGCTGAGATGTCAGTGTGGATTTGTGTCAGAGTGGCAGACTGAGAGCAGGAGCAAATCTGGGAGCACTCAGGTCTCTGGTTTTGCCGGTGCAGCTGTTGAGAGAGAGAACACATCAAGGCATAGGATGGCAGAAGGGGCTCATGTTCTCCCCCTCAAGTCAGCCATGGTCACAGAGCTAGGAGAAAAGGACAAAGGGATGGTAGGGATGGAGTAGAGTGAGATGGGGAAGGTACCAATAGGGCCTTCCCTGCCAGTGTGCCTCCCCTCTGGGTGTGGGACTCCTCATCCATGATTGCTGCAGTTAATGTAGCAGCACCATTTACAGCCTGAAAATAACACAGGATATTAACTCTCTCATGGAACTGTTTGATAGCTGTGGATCTCAGGAACACTTATCCCACATGCCTGTGGGCTACATTGGACTGTAGAGAGCCCAGACTCACCTGCACAACCTAGCCCTGACAGCCTAGCACTCAGGGGTAAGGATGCTGTCTCTCCTGCCCCATGCCCAGCTCCCAGTGCCTAGTCCAGGGTTCTAAGCACAGTAAGCACCACAGGAGGCAATAGCACTGGTGTACTCAACTTGAAAGGGTTCAGAGCTTGGGGCATCTAGGCCAGCCTGGAACTCTGGACCACAAGCATATAGAAATGAAGGCCAGAGGGAGCAGGCATGTAGGTAGGGAGCACACAGCCACACTATCTAGAGGTATCTTCCTACTGAAGACTCCAGAGAAGAAGGCTCGAAGGGGATTCATACATATAGGAGCCTTCTAGAAGCCCTCCTTGGCAAGGGACAGGAAATCAGACAGACATGGAATCTGTCCTGCTCCTACCCTGAGCCTCTGGCACCTGCATCTAAGCAAAGGCCTCAGCAGGGGCCAGCAAGACGGTGTGGTCAACAAGCAGGGCAGCCAAGAGAGAGGCCTGGTATCCCCTGAACCCAGGATGATCTGAGTGTCTATGTAAGGAGAGCCACCCATCCATTCTGTTTACCTTTTGCTTGAATTATAGACAGCGGAACCCAGGAGGGAGTCACAGCAGGCAGGAAACTTCCCTGTGTCTCACCTACCCTTCCCTCCCCAGGAAAACCAACAACCAGAGCTCCAAGGCAGTCACCTCTATGACCTCAGAACCCACCAGAGCCCCCATCTGGGGAGATATGATGAAAGTAGAGATTCAAGCTGAGGATGCTGGCCAAGAAGGTGAGGCTGGGGGCTGGGGACTAGGGGCAGGCATGTGTGGGAGGGGCTATGAACACAGCCCCACCTGCCATGGAAGGCAAAAGCAGGCTCCTCTCAACACAGCTGGAGGCTACCTGAACACCTCCCTGGGCTCTGATAAAAGCATTTAAAAAAAAAACAAAACAGCACAATCTTATCATGCCTCATCTCCCCAGCCTGCTGGAAAAATGAGTTGTTCCACATAAATGAATTTTCCAGACAATGCATGCTTATCGTTTTTTATGACTGTTGTTATTATTTTCATGGTTGTTATTACTGCTGTCTCCCACTGAAATGGCACATTATAGCTTCTTGGCATGTCCCCATGCATCGATCATTGGAGTCACCACCTCCTAGGAGGAGCTTTAGAAGAGAACACTGAAGCTCAGAGAATTTGAATAACACAAGTTCTGGGTAAGCACGGGGGCTAGGTCTTGGCATCATCTATCACTGGAGCTCCAAGATTGTAACTGAGTTTGGGGTTTGCTTGCTTGCTTGTTTCATGTCTCTAGAATGAATCTTTATTCCTGGTTAGATTTCCTTCAGTCTCGAACCAAGTACCATGCAGTACCACACGCATGTGCATCCCTGTGTATCTCATACTTTGGACCCATGTAATGTCCACTCTTAAATGAGAGCTTGGACTTGAATACACAGGAGTACTGACTGACTGATGTCAAAATTGCCAGGAGCACTGGCATCAGGCACTGGCAGCACAGAGCAGAGGTGTCCAGTCACATCTCTGGACTGGGCTATTCAAAACATCATCCTCACTTCTCACAGGTGGCTCCCCCAGAGAGGACAGATTTTACTGCTCTCCTCGAACTCTCCCCAGGGATTTAGACAAGACTCCTCGTTCACTTCACAGAGCCAAAACCCGGTTATCAGAGACTGTGGGAGGGAGAGAGGTAACAGTGGGTTTGATACAGGAAATGAGGCTAGATGTAGGTCAGGCAAGAGAGTTTTTCCTGTCTGTAAAGGAAGAAGTGATGCTGTGGAATGATTTGAGAAGATGCAAGAAAGGAAGAAAAATTGACCTGAGATTTCATGCAATGTACAGATGTGCTTGTGTGCACGTGCCTTTGCAAGTGCCTGAATGATGACTTGTGTGTTCATATGAATATCATTATTGTCTGTGCCTGTAGTCCCACCCCTCTATGTGTGTGTGTATAGGTTTCTGTGTCTGCAACAGTGTGTTCTGTTGTATACACGGGTGTAGCTGGATGGTGATGGTGGTGGTAGTGATGGTGTGTATGTGTGTGTATAATTTAGTTGTGGTAGTGAGTGGACCCTGCTCTGGGCCATGCACAACTGGGGGTCAATGGGGAGGGATTAAGAGCACCGGCTGCGGGGCTGGAGAGATTGCTCAGCAGTTAAGAACACTGGTTGTTCTTGCGGAAGACCCAGGTTCGAATCCCAGCACCCACATGGAAGCTAACAACTGTCCATAACTCCAGTTCCAGGGGATCCGACAGACACTTCTGTCCTCCATAGGCATTGCACGACACAGGTGCACTTACCTTCACACAGGCAATACATGCATACACATAAAATAAAAATAATAAAATATTTTTTAATTAAAAAAACAATAAAGAAAATATTTTAAAAAATTAAGGAAGGGGCTGGGTGTGGTGGTGCACGCCTTTAATCCCAGCACTCGGGAGGTAGAGGCCGGCAGATCTCTGTGAGTTCAAGTCCAGCCTGGTCTACACAGAGAGTTCTAGGACAGCTGGGGCTACAGGGAGACCCTGTCTCAAAAAGACAAAAAAAAAAAAAAAAAAAAAAAAGGGAAGGGGGCTGGAGAGATGGCTTAGCAGTTAAAAGCACTGACTGCTCTTGCAGAGGACTCAGGTTCGCAGGTTCGATTCCCAGCACCCACATGGCAGCTATGAACCATCCTTAACTCCAGTTCCAAGGGAATCCAAAGCCCTCTTCTGATCTCTGCAGCATTGCAAGACACGGGTGCATTCACATACATGCAAGCAATATACTCATACACATAAAATAAACATAATAAATAAAATATTTTTAAAAAGAGGGAAGGATGTGATGAGGTCAGTGGCCCAGGGTCCTATGTGTATGAAGGGAAAGGAACTAACTGCAGGAGGGAAAAGAGGGTGAGGAGGCCACATGGGCAGGCAGGGAGTGTTGGCAGGCACCTCTTTACAGATTGAAGTCGCTTGTTAGAACCTGATTGGAACTGGTTGCTGTGGTGATATCTGCAGTGGGGGTTGAGGGGATGGGGACCAGGCCAAGAGGCAAGAGGAGGGTGGAAGGCAGCCCAAGGACGTGTTAATGAAAAGCAAAGGGACGTTTCAGACCCTGGGTCAGGGCCAAAGTGGGCAGTGGCAGAAATGGCTTGTTGGCCACACAAAGGGAGTGATGGGAGGCCAGAAGGGCTCAGTGCCCAGAAAGGAAGCTGATGAAGCATGTTTGGAGCATGTAGACAGGAGCATGGAGGAATGGCTATCCAGTCTTCCCAGTTACAGTTCATGGCCAGCTGCCTACACAGAGACAGGGTGTCCCAAGAATTGGGGGGCGGCGTGCAAAACCTCAGTAAATCCCAATCAGATTTGGGGGCTCAGAGTCCCTGGGGAAGGAATATGAGGAGTTTCCAGCCTCCTTGGCTACCGCGGTCTTGGCTGGGAGTCCTGGGATTTCCCAGGTGAATCTTCTCAAGTCTGCTCAGGGCTGGGTGAGTGTGTAGAAAGCTGCAGATGGCTAACAAGGGGAAACTAGTAAGAGCCGGCAGCAGTCATACACGTGCCATCCTCCCTCAGCATCCAAGGGGAAGGATAGGGTTTCTTTCTTTTCTGTTTGTTTATTTAAAATATTCATGTTTCACAGAAGCTTGGAGAGGCTATGTACCTTGCTACAGGTCTGAAAGGAAGTTAGTGTCTTGATACTAGAATGGAGGCCTGCTGACTTCAAAGACCTGGCCGGGTTTTACTTTCTTCAAGTCAACCTCAAGACCATTTGGTGCCCCTTCCCCCCGCCTTCTCGTTGAGCATGGATCCTATGTGACCTTCCCTTGGAAAGTGTCTTTTCCTCTCTGTGTGTTCAGTGTAGCTGTGGGAGAAGGCTGAGAAGGACAGAATAGCTAGTAAGCCCTCCAGAGGCTGCTAGCGACTGTCCCTGGTGCTGAAGGATCCTTGTCTGGGGAAGAGAGGCCCTTGGGCATGCTCCGCCCCCCGCATTCTGTCTTTTTCCATTCTTCTCTGGATCTCTTTTAGCTTCTCTTTCTTCCAGCTTCCACATCCTTTATCTTTCTCTTCCTTTCCTCCTTTCCTGTTATGTCCTCAGTCTCAAATCACAGATTTCCAAGAATGGGAAAATGTCTCTAGATTCACAGAATCCAGCCTCTCCCTCTGCCCACTTTTTAGCTGTGTGAGGCTGGACCAGTTCTATGACCCCTCTGAGAGCCACTGATCACATTTTAGGAACAAAGGTGGCAATAATTGTCATAATAATTCATAAGAATAACAACTGAGTTTTTGCCATCATCATGCCTGGCACATAGCAGGCGCTCAGAAGTGGACCCACCATCATTTCTGGGACTTTGGCTTTCTCCTTGAAGTTTGTCTTGGTTTCATGAGAAAACATGGTCTCTTTAGGAAGTGTTTACTAAGTGACATGTTATTCTTCATTTTAATTTACTTGTAGTAGGGACTGAAGAGATGGCTCAGAGGTTAAGAGCACTGGCTGCTTTTACAGAGGACTTGGGTTCAGTTCCCAGCACCCACATAGTGGCTCACAACCATCTGTAACTCCAGTTCCAGGGGATACAACAATGCTCTCTTATGGCCTCCATGGGCACCAGGCATGCACATGGTACACATATATACATGCAGGAAAACACATACATAAAATGAAAATAAGTATATTTTGACAACAAATAAGGAACTTAGTTTACTTGTATAGACTTTCAAAAATATTTTATTGAGCAAATTGCTTTACTTGCTTTCTTTTGGGGGTGTGTTTGTTGTGAGATAGGATCTCCCTGTAACTTTAGCTGACCTAGAACTCTCTGTGTAGACCAGGCTGGCCTTGATCTCACAGAGATCCTCTTGCCTCTGCCTCCCAAGTGCTGGGATTAAAGGCGTGCATCACCATGCCTGACTGGGACTGTTTTTCTTTGCTGAAACTCAGTTTCCCTACCTGAAACATGTGAAACATAACCCCTTCCCATCCTGCCTGAGGAACTGGTTGGGATGGTGGGGTGTATGATGAAGGAGGAGGGGACCTTTTCCTGCAGAGGGCACTATTCCTGCTTGCCCATGTTACTCATATGTGTGCTCATCTATGTGTCTACTGCCATGCAGGACTGGGCTGTGTATCCATCCCTGGGTTGGGAGTCTCCTCACATTTTAGGGTTAGCCCTGAGCAGGGTTACAGACAATGCTTATGGGTTTATGTGTGCATGAGTATTCCCCACATGTCCCTATCTTGTGTGACTTTTCCTGGGGAGATGTGAACAAATAAGATGTGTCTGTTTACCTCAGATAAGGTACCATGACAGACTAAAGAAATGATAAACAACTTGCATGAGCGTGGGTGATTCACAGGTAGCTGGTCACCAAAAAGCCCACCCCTAGCACAAGTGGCAACTCACAAATGTGGCATCCCTGGAGCCCTTTGAACAACTTGCAGGCAGCTCCACCAGAGAGTCTCCACTCCCCAGCAGTAGTTAACTGTTTTTATAACCTTGCAAAGCTTGTGAATCTTATAACTTTCTGAGCTTTGTAGTTTCACCCTTTTCCTGTCTTATGAGCCTCTCTCTTCCCTCCAGAAGGGAATGTTTCAGTTCTGAGAAAATTGCTATACAAGGAGAAGCTCACTGATTCCTTCATGTGATCAACACCCTGTCTGTTCTCAGTGATGTCTCTTGCCTGTCACTGTCTCACCTCACTGGGAAAGCTCTTTTCTCCCCAGATGTGGTACTCATGGTGATGGACAATAATCAAGAGGAGCTGGCGTCCTATGAAATCCCCATTAAATACCTGCGTGTCTTCCACCCTTACCACTTTGATCTGAGAAAGGTGAGTCCAAACCCTGAGTTCTAGGTCTGACCTCTGGCCAAGTAAGGGAGAGCTGGTGGAAAGTGCTTTGATGTTCCCAAATGTTCTCCGAGAACAGAGTTGAGACTGTGTCCCAGTCACACACCTCATATGTGGTACATATGTGGCAGGCTAAGCATTCCCCAGAATGTGCCCTGTCAAGGGACAACTGGGCACCAATCTGGAGTAGAAAGACTTGGGACTCCTCAACCCCTGGACTGTTCTTCCCAGTGCTGATTGGTAGAAGGGAAAATTCTCTCTCGTTGCTCATGTATTTATTAAGCATTTACTATATGCCAGGCACTAGGTCACAGAGGCACAAAAGCATCACTTCCCCCACCATATGCACTCCAGACCTCTATAATGGTTTAGAGAAAAGGACAATGTGAGACTGGATTGTCTGGATTCCTGTCCTAGGTCTGCCATTTATTGGCTGCATACCCACAGAAGGCCATTTCACCCTGGACCACTATTGCTCAGCAGTAAATGTGAGACAAGTTGTCTCTGGACAGGGTCCAGTACAATAATGGGCAAAGTGCCTCGCATATGGGAAGCACTCAGTGTGGATAGTTTCCTCCTCTCTCCCTCCCTCTGACCCTGGCACTGACTTTCTTGCCAAACACCTCTTCAACCACAGTGCTGGAGTTCTTTATCTTTCCTGGGCTCCAGGACTGTGGGAGAGGCACCAGGGCAGACACAGAAGTCAAGGCCCCAATAGACCCTGGAGACAGCCACCTTGTAAAAGCATCACCAGCCCCCAGCCTCTGGCCACTTCAATCCAGGCCTCGTTATCACATCTTCACCAAGACAGCAGGCGAACAGTGGTTTCCTGTGAGGGTGATGAAATATTCAAATGGGAACAGGGAGATTTATTGTACTGATTTCCTTGGAAGGGCTCACAGGGACCATGAGCTTTAATTATAGCTGGAGTCCCAGTGGAGCAATGGTAAGCAAGTGTCCACACTGGATTTATGGACAGGCCCTGCCTTTATACACTCTCCTTCTTACGCATCCTCTACCCCTACCCTATGTCCACCCCACAGTCTGAGAAAACTGATGAAGCCACTGCCAAGACACGAGTATACGCCACTGTGGTTCGGAAGGGCAGTTTCATTCCCTGAGTCATTGGTTGTGACCACACGGCTCTCGAGGTACTGGAACTGGGGTTCTCTGTGGGAACAGGTGGACCTAAGCCCTTGGTCACCTCTGGCTGGCCTGAAAGTAGGGAACAGAGGTATCTAGGGAAAGAATAAAAAAGGGGAAAAGCAACGGGACCTTTCAAAATTAGTCACAGTGGGGCTGAGGAGATGCACAAGCCTGATGACTGAGTTCAATCCCTGGAACCCACATAAAGGTAGAAGGAGAGAATTCACACCACAAGTTTATCCTCTGACCTCCACATACACGGTGAGGCATGTGTAAACACTACACCCCCACACACAAAAAAAAACCCCACACATTAATAATAAAATTTTTAAATCAACAACAAAATAACCATAGTTTTTAAAGACAAGCAAGTTCCTTACTGCTTTTGAATGCAGATGAAGGAGGAGGAGGAAGAGGAGGAGGAAGAGGAGGAAGAGGAGGAGGAAGAGGAGGAAGAGGAGGAGGAAGAGGAGGAGGAGAACGAGCAGGAGGAGGAGGATGAGCAGGAGGAGGAGGAGGAAGAGGAGGACGAGCAGGAGGAGGAGGAAGAGGGGGAGGAGGAAGAGGAGGAGGAGAACGAACAGGAGGAGGAGGATGAGCAGGAGGAGGAGGGAGAGGAGGAGGAGGAGGGACAGCTGTGTTCCTTACCTACTCCTGAGCTTCAGGGAATACCATAGACTTCCCTGGACTTTGGACTCCTAGAAGCATGGGTCCTCTACCTTGGTGCAGTCCCTGGCTATGCTCAGTCCTATTCTTCCCTGTTGGGGTGATGCTCCATGACTTAGTTCATAAAATCCCCAAACAAACTTTGTGGTCTCCCTGGCCCTTCCTGAAGTTTGATTTGAGTATTTGCATGTTCATTCACTTACTTATTCCCCAGAAAGCTATTTACACAGGCCCATCTGTTGGGTGGCCAAGCCTTGACCTATACCTTGATCTTTTATCTTTCAGTCCAAGGATAGCCTTGGCAGGAATGATTGAGGCTAGAGACAGACATATTCTGGGGACCTGGCTCCTCAGCCTTTCTCTGGGCAATAGACTTATACTCAGAAAGGTCTGGGTACAATCCACAGGATCCAATTTCTGGCCTTCCCCTACCCCAGCAGATCTGATCTGATTCCTTGTTATGGCACTGTGAATCTGACAGGTTTGTCTTCTAGCACCATTTCATAGCTGGGACACTGAGATCCAAGGGAAGTCTGACATGGAAACCCAGAGCTCCTGAGCCATAGATTTGCTTTCCCCACAGCCACTCCTTGGATACCAGCAGGAGGCCCGTCTCTCCCCTCTCTTCCATCTGTCCCCTTCCTGAGGACAGCCAGTCACTACTCAACACTCGTGACAAGGAAGAGTGACAACAACATGGTTTTGCTGTCCCCAGGCTGCACCCTACAGGGAAGGGGCTGCATCCCCGAGACTGTGGCTCTACCCCACCTCCACCCCAGTCTTCTGACTCTTCTAATAGCACCCTCTCACTCCCTGCTCCAAGACAGACCTCCTTCCTGACTTTGTGACAAGTATGGCCACAGGAACAGCCGTCTGTTCCTAATGGTAGACCAGAGGGCACAGACAGAAAATAAATTGCTCCTGTTACTCAGGACTGTCAGGAACAGGTGTACTCCAGCAGCTGTCTCATTCACACCTAGCCAGAGTACTTGAAGAATGAAGAACAGGTATAAATCCCCCACCCCTAGCACACGCATATACACCTTAGACCACCAGCCCTCAGTCTTCATACTGGTTGGAGTTCTTGTGAGCTTTAAGACACCTGATAGCTCTTCAGTGACATCAGAGACTTATTGGGAAGCCCCACTGAGAGCCAAAAGGCAATAAGGATGATTTCAGTTCTTATCAAATCACACCTGTGCGGAGCTAGCAACCAGCTGCCCCCAGCTGAGATGGTTCCGGCAGAGGGACCCTAGGGGAGGACACCGAGGGAGGGGAGTAAAGGGAAGGGGATCCAGAGTAAGCCCCACTCCTGGCCTGTCTTCCCACTTGAGGTCAGACCCAGAAGGACCAGACAGCATAGTTCAAACCCTCAGTGTATATGTTGGAAAACTGAGGCCTAGAGAGGATCTGGGTCTGGCCAAGGTTTCCCAGCTGGGGCAGACCCAGTGAGGACATGGTCTCTCTGCTGAGCCCAGGGTGGCTGCCCCTTCCTGCCCCTTCCCCTTAAGTCTCATCCCTTGAGGCCACCTCAACCCCAGCCACCCAAAGTCCATTGTCTGTCTCTTGTACTCTGTTCCCAGGTCTCTCTGTTCCTCTGTCCTTCCTTCTCCTTCATACTCAGAAACACAGAGGTGGCCTCTCCTCTGTTCCCTGCTTTCCTCATTTATGTCACAAGCGTTGTTGACTCCTGCTCTATGCCTGGCCCTGTGATAAATGCTGGGAATGCAACAGTGACTGAGATGTGTGTCAAATAGACTGAAAAAGAATAAGAGCTAAGTTAGAAGAAGTACAGGCTCTGATGAGTGCTAATGGAGGAGGAACGCAGGCCTGAGAGAACAGGCTGACGGTGACCAGAAGGCCAATCAGAGGTGGTGCCACAGAAGCCGGGGGCGCGCTGGGGGTGGAGGTGGGGGATGAACAGCAGCAAAGCATGAGTTGGTGGGAGATAGGTACCCAGGAAGAGGGATGGGTATGTGTAAAGACCAGAAATAGAAGCAAGAACACATTGGAATATGAGAGATTAAGAGGCCACAGCAAAAAGAGGGGTCTGGGGAGATGTGGGCAGAGGAATAGACAGGTGAACATATACAGGCCTTGGTGACATGGTAAGAACTATGGTATGTGGGCTGGCCAGGCAGTGCTGATGCTGAGAATTGTCTTCCAACCACCCTTTGCTGGGAAAAGCCCCAAGGTGAACAGGAACCAGGGGTGATAGGCATGGGAGTGTGGGTAGAAGTCAAAGGACACCTCTGACCTCGAGAAGCCCAATGCAGTTGGTATCCTCAGTTTACAAAGTGTCATTTCACAATTTAATCAGAGACCTCCTTATAACCCAAGGACCAGAGTTTGTCAGAAGCAGACAAACCAGAAGTCCTAACCAGGCCTCCCTCCCAGGCCCTGATTCTTGCTCACACACCTTGTCCCTCAGGGCAACTGGTGTAAGCGATACACCACTGAGTCCCAGTAGTGCCCCTAGGAAGCCACCGGTACTTGCCCAGCCAGACCCAGAGGGCAAGTTTTCTGAAGGAGAGCATCCTTAAGCAAAGCCAGAAGCAAGGGGAACCAGTGGATCTGGGGTATGGGGGCGGGGACAGGATAATCATGAGGGTGCATGGTGGGGAGAGAGAAGGCAGGTGAGCTAGCTGCATCTGTGGGAGGATCCCAGGCCATAAGGGTTCTCCTGTTTCTCTCCTCTTCTCCAGGTCTTTCTCCAGGGAGCCAACGAGCTCCTGGTCAACAACCCCAACCCCATGGTGGTGACTGCCCGGATGGTTCCCAGCTATGCTAAGTTTAAGTGAGTAGGTCAGGTGAAAAGGGAGGGGAGGGCAGAAGACCTGGATGAGGGAACCTCCCCTCCCCGTAAGGTCCCTCTGAGTCACACACACACACACACACACACACACACACCTTGGTCTGAGGCCCCAGCAGACCTGAGTTTCTCTTCTAGAAAACCTTGGGCTCTGGGAAGGGAAAGTGGGGACCTCTCTTGAGCCTACTCTTGAGAGTGTAGGGGAATCAGACCTGAAAGGCAGGAGAAAGCAGTGTGTAAGGAGGCCAAGAGGGGCCTCTTTTCCCTGCCCAGGAGCACCTCTGTCCCTCCAAACCAGACTGGTATCCCAGGCCCACCACCCCACAATCCCCATTCCCCATCAGGTTCAAGCTTCTGCTGCTGATTGTCCAGGAAGAAGGCAGCCTAATGCCATCTTGAGCAGTCTTGTCAGGAGTACCCTCCCTCAGCCTTCTGGAGGTGCCTTGCCAGCCCTAACTTGTCCCCCACTGGTCCCAGACCTCCTTTGGATTCACAGTCCTCAGGAAGGGATTCAGGCTAGTCTGATCACTGAAGGCCACAGCGGAGGAAGTTCCCCAGAGAACTTGTGCTCTCTGTGACAGCAACTCTCCTGGAATTGGCTGTCTACCCATCATTGCCCAAGCTGACTCCCTACTCAGCTGCACCCCTGTGGAGTTTTCCCACCCTATGAGCCCTGATTGCTTGTTGGAGGAGTTGAAGTCCTTGTATGCTGATACACACACCAATGGGCCTAGAGTGCAAGCACCCGATGTGCATGTGTGCCCCTCATCTCCCGCACAACAGGCTCTCTGCACTACTCAAGTATAATCCAAGATTCCCACAAGTTGGGAGGAATTATTCTGATAAAGTCTTTCAAAGATGAGGTAGGGAATTGAAGTCCCATTTTAGAGTAAAGCTGACCTACCCATTAGCTACACAGCCCATTTCCAGACCAAGATAAGCCTTCTCAAGGCTTGGGCCAGGCTGGTCACAGGGTAGAGAGTGCTAACTCCTATCTCTTTGCCTCTCCAGGGCCAGTCAGACAAGGCAGGACCCCACCTCCAGGGGGCTTCCCCTTACCCAGCTCTCCTTCCCCACCTCATCACCTATGGACTTTGATGTGCCTCAAGTCAGCCAGAATGGGTGTCCTCAGGTATGGATCCTTCCCTACTGTGCCCTTCACTGGTGCATATCACCAGTAATTCCCCCATGTGTTCATTCATCCATGCCATCAGACTATTGAAAAGTGCTGCATCCTGCTGCTGCTCAGGACCCTGTGCCGGTATTCTACACAGAATCCACCCTCGGGACTCCTGGAAATATTAAACATCCACCCAGATCATGTCTAATCTAGCAACAAGCCAACAGGGACTATCAGAGCTATGACAACCAGAGACAAGGCAACACGAAGGACAAATTGCATAGCTTGGCATGGGGTGCCTCAAATCAACAGTCACAGAGACAGAAAATAGAATAGTGTTAGTAAGGACCAGGGAGAGAGCAGAGCAGAGAATAACTGATTTGGGGGTGTGGCGCATCTGGGATGATGACAGAAGGGATGGCTTCAATATAAATGCACTTGACACCAAGTGTATGGTTAAAATGGCAAATTCTATGTATGTATATTTTACTGCAATAATTTGTGCATGTGGTGTGTGTGTGTGTGTGTGTGTGTGTGTGTGTGTGTGTGTGTACATGTGGGTGCATATACATGTGAAGGACAGGGATCAATGTCCAGTGTTTTCATTAACTGCCTCTTGGTGAGTTCTAGGAACTGACCCCTGGTTCTCTGGAAAAGCAGCCAGTGCTCTTAACCACTAAGCCATCTCTCTAGCCCCTTTCATTTTGTTTTTGAGACAAGGTCTTTTATATAGCCTAGGCTAGCCTCAAACTCTCCACCCATCTGCCTTACCCACACCAGCCCCAGGAAAACAGGTATGGGCTACTATGCCAACTTTGTCATAAACTTTAATTATTTTCTTTTAATTTATTATTATTGTGTGTATGCATGATATGGGAGGGGGCCATCTGTGATATAGCACATTTGTGGAGGTCAGAGGACAACTTTGTGATGTCTGCTTTATGTGAGTTCCAGTAATCCAGCTCAGGTCCCAGGCTTGAATGACAAGAACACAGTGTCAGCTGGGACATGGTACATGTTTGGAACAGACAGTAAAGCATGTGTTTGAATATGCTGGGGGGAGAGGGTACACCAGTCATGGCTGGGTTCAGTCACAGCCAGATTGACCTCCCTCAGTCTGTACTTCAGTGGAAGCTTATTGTGCATGGTAGAAGAGCCTTGGAAGACCGGGTGTTCTTGGAAGTCCCTCTTGTCATCTGTCCATTAATGCTCATGTCTGGTACTCCAAAACCAGAACAAGACATCCTGTTGGAGCTCCAGCCTCCATTCAAAGGCAAAGTCATTTGAAGAAGGCTCAGACACAGGCAGGAGAGATGGTGGGCAGGGAACTGTGGGATAAAGAGGGACCATAGGGACCGAAGCTTCAAACCCAAACCAATCCTCAGCCTGATTTCCCTAGAGTCATCTCACACATGGCCCTGCATTTTTGCAGAAAATTATGAACCAATCAGCAGCTGTCCCTAGGGGCAAGAGGCGCTGCCTGCTTTAATGAGTAAACCCCTCTCATCCTGGCTGCCTCTGCTACCTAACTCCATGTGAATGGGGGAGGTGCCCCTCACTCCAGACTCCTCCAGTGCCTTTCCCACATGTGAGACTGGACACCAAAGGCCCAGCAATGGCAGGACATTTGCTGAAAGTTACACAGCACCATAGCAGCTGAGCAGGGTTGAGAGCCGGCTGACACCTACACAGAGATGCCCAGGTGCCAGCAGGGAAAAGAGGAGAGGAGTGGATTGAGGAAGGAAGGGCTCTAGTCACCAACCCTAGACCCAGAGAACACACAGTCCCTTTCTCTGTCCCCTCTGAGCTCTATCTGAAGTTGATGGGGTAGGGACTGGGCCAACATAATTTCTAAGGATGGTCCTGTCTGAAAGACTGTTAGTTTCCCCAAAGCCACCACCATACTAAGCATTGTGGGTAGGGGCTACAGGACCCGGAAGACCTATATCAGACTTCAGCTCTATGGCTTGCTGGCTGTGTGACCTTCAGCAAGCTGTGCACTTCCTTCAGATTTACTGACTACTGTCTGACTGAACAGTTAGAACTGAAAGGCTAACCAAGGCCAAGGGTCCAAACTGTCTTCTTCAGAGCCACACCCCACCCCCATACCAAATAGTCTCTCTGGGGCCAGCCTCAATATTGTGTCTCTTGCTTTTGGTGAACCCCACAGAACCCCAACTCAGTTGGACCTAAACACGAAGGGTGTCTATTGCCACACATCACAAGTCTCAGTGTAGGATGTTGCCAAGAGTAATTCTCAAAGTCACAAGTTCTGACATCTGGAAATCATTCAGGTGGCTAACAGTTCCTGGGGGCAAAATGTCCCAGATACCCAGCCCAGATATGACAAAGGTTAATGAAAGAGTACGGTATTCACGGTATTCACGAGACACTGGAAACTAAGCCCTCGCCCAACAGACTTTCACTCTCAACTCACTGGCCAGAATCAAGTCACGTGTGCTTCCCTGAACCAATCACTGAGGAGGGTGTGGCTCTGCCTTGCTGGTAGCCAAAGCCAACAGGTGTTAAGAATGGGGCCCACCTGAATGAGAGAGCTCCAGAAACACATTGGCTCTGAGGCTGGGAGGGCTAGGGTGTATCAGGAGACCGGCAAAGCCTGAGTTGTAATGAGTGAGGTATGATAGATGGGTAGTCTGGCTGGGTGTAGCCCTACCTGCTGGACCCGCCCACCAGGTTGCTCCTCTAGCCCCACCACCTGTAGAGTTAAAGTGGAACCCCCCAGGAGCTGAAACACAATCAAGAAGGAAAGAGACCCCTGTACCCACCTCCTCCCATCTCAGCCCCACAACCAGTTTTCCCAAGCTCTTCTGTCTTTCCCATCACCCCGAACTCTGCTCTAGTGCTGGCCTAGCTTGCCTAGCCCATTGCAGCACGTCTCCCCCCATAGTCTGCCCTCTTTATCTGTCCTCTGAGAAGCTGGTGAGACATGCCCTGCCCTGACCTACAGCCTTCCCTTAGACCCCTCATCCCTCTCACCCACAGGACCAAACTCTCTTTGGCTAGCGCTGCCCCTCCAGTCTCCAGGCTCATGCCCCCACTTCTCATAGGTAGGACTCCCTGTTTTCCACATCCAAGCAATCCCTCTCACCTCACTCTTGGTCCAGAATGGCCTTGCTCCTTGCTGCTGCCTCACCCCTGAGGTCTTCCCTGCCCCAGTCAGAGGTGTGGTTTTCTCCTTGTACTTCCCAGCTGCCACCACGGTAACTTGCTCAGGCCTCTGCGTGATTACAGGAGTGGGTGGGTGTTCACACATGTGCATGCATGTGCCTTATCCCCTTGGAAGCTAGTAAACTCTAGGAAGTGGCAGTGTCTTTCTCCAGGAGCGCCCTGCAAGTATCTATCATGGGACACCAGTCAACATTTGCTGAATTCAGTCAAACTGAACATTCGCTAACTAACAAAATATCCACTATCTCCTTCAACCTCACAACAGGCTTTCAAATGTGGTGACAAGGCATTTTTGACAAGAAAACTAGATCCCAGAGAGGGGAACAGACCTGCTATGGGTCAAATAGTAAGCTTGAAGCAGCCTTGGGCTCAGCATCAAGGGGTCCTAACTCATTAGAAGCCCTAGCCAGCAGGAACTGCTGGTCCTCCCAGCATGGCTCCACAGTGCCTGAGCAGAGCAGGCAGTGGTGGGTGAGAGTGAAAGCAAGGGTGGGCCCAGAGGAAATAGGAAGAACAGGGGCCAGGGATCCATAGAAGGAAGATTCTGTCCCCAGGGAAGGCAAGTCTTCCTCAGTGGCAGAGGGTTAATGGCTTTTCTGAAGATCACAGCTGAGGGTTAATCACATTCCTTAATTCCACAGCCCACCATGGCCTCTCCCATTAGCGTCTTCAAGGTCAGGCTTACCCTATCCCCACCCCCACCCCCTCACCCCTGCACAGCATAAGCATCAACCTCTAGCACCATCACCCACACGAGACTCTGATAGCAGATTGTGATGCTATGTACCAGAAAAATGGGGAGAGAGAGAGAGAGAGAGAGAGAGAGAGAGAGAATATGAATATGGCCCTCCCTCCCAAGTCAAGATCTGAAAGCCTCTTTCCTGGGAGTCTTAACCTAGAAATCCATTCAGGGAAGATGCTGTCCCTTATCAGCCCCTCACCACCTCTTGCTTTGTAGACGCCATTAGTAGATCTGTTAATAAGTCCCAAAGCAGACAGTTAGCATCCATTAAATAACCCTCTCCCAGAATGGGGGCAACAGATGAAGTAGAAGGAGACTGAGCCACAGTCCCTCCTCCTTGAGGGCCCTAGTGCCTGGCAGCTGGCCCAGGCCATGTGGATAACTCCTCTGGCACCCAGGAGAAGGGAGTGGCTCTGGGAGGGGCTTGAGCTGGGAATCTGTCCTGAAAGATCAATGCTGAGCTCCACAGAGCCTGGAATTGATTTCTATGGCCTAGTCTGATGACCAAGTGGTTGTCCTTAGGTTTCTACCATGAATGTCTCAAGGGCACACCCATGACCCCAGTCATTATCCCAGTGTTCAGGGACATCTGGCCTTGTCTTGACCATAAACCATCTCCTTGGGGACAGGGACAGATTTAGCTGAACCTGGAGCGGGAGCTCTGGAGGATGGAAGCAAGCATATTAGTGTGACAGGCATCAACACCCCACCTCCTCAGGGAGTGGGCCAGTACTGATATTCCTCCATTCTGCATCAGTAACTCCTGGTGCGTTTCGCACTGCCCTTTTTCAGCAATCACTAATCCCTGCAGGGGAGCAAAAGGTAGGCACCACTGCCACTGTTGTTGACAGCTCCTGACACAGCAGAGGCAAGGTTGCCACTTGGAGAGTCTGTGCTGGTGACCCACAGCCCTCCCTGGGCTGGGACCACATAGGGCTGCTTGCTGAGAGTTACAGGCTGACACCCTACCTCCCATCTCCCCACCTTCCTGTCTTTGCAGATTCTGGGCTTTCCCAGTGGTCTCCCCCTGCTTCAGGGTCCTTCAGATGTGCTGAGCTCAGCACTGCCTCCATACTTTGCAGCTTGTACCTTTCTCCCACCCAGAAGACCTCCCCTCTTCCTTCGTTCTGCCAAATCTTCCTTCAGAGCCTCTTCTGGACCACCCAGAGTTTTGTGTGGTCTCTTATTTGGGCATCAGTTAATGCTGTCTTGTTTCATCTTCCAAGCCATCCCCATGTGCGCACCCCACATGCTACCTTATGGTGCCATCAAGTCACCTGGGTCTCTGATGGCCTAAAGTCAGACACCAAGGTTCTAGACTCTGAAGGCCTATGTGGCCTTCAGGAAGGGACCAAGGAACTTGTATGAGGGAAGACAGGGGCTAGTGATAAGGGCTGAGGTCATGTCTAATTTCATATTAATGCTACCACCAGATATGGCTGTGAATGTTGGTGCAATACTTTGGGAAACAGACATACACCTAATAAGTGCTGTGGCACATGCATGTACTTTCACTCCACAATGATTTGTAAGGATTTACACTAAGAAAATAATCTGGGATACAGAGGCCTGTGGCAAAGAGCACTTAGTGTTATTATTAAAAGAAAAATCAGATGGGGGGGCTGGCGAGAAGCTCAGCAGGTTAAGTCATTTGCCACCAAGCCTGACCTGAATTTAATCCCCAGAATTGATATGGTGGAAAGAAAGCTGACTCCAGCAAGTTGCCCTCTGACACATACAAAATAAATGAATGAATAAATGCTTAAAATAATTTTAATGTATTTATTTTTATTTCATGTGTATGAGTGCTTGCGTGTTATGTATGTAAGTGTACCTATTCATGTAATGCCCATGGAGGCCAGAAGAGGGCATCAGATACCCTGGAACTGGAGTTAAGGATAGTCATTAGCTACCATGTTGGTAACTGAACCCGAGTCCTTGGCAAGAGCAACCAGTATTCTTATCTGCTGAGCCATCTCTCCAGCCCTTTAAAAATAATTTTAAGGAAAAAAATTGGAAAGGAGAAACCAGAGCACTTGAACATGACAAGATATCTTTTGGGGAAGAAGAGGTTCTGTTTTGTTTTTTGAGACAGGGTCTTTATGTGAACTAGGCTGGTCTTAAATTCTCTATGTAGCTGGGGCTATCATCAAGCTCTCTATATAGTCCAAGTTTTCTTTGACCTCATAATCATCCTGCCTCTACCTCCCAAGTGCAGGGATTATAGATATGTGCCGCCACACTTGGCCACAACATACCTTGAAGTTACTGATGTCTGAATAATGACAGCTTCTTGGGACTCTGGCTATGTTTAGGTTTATATTTAAATGAAAAGGGTAGATAGTTCTATATACAAAATATGCACAGAAAAAAATAGAAACAGTGATATGAGTAGTTGTCCAGTGTAGGAATGTAGGAATTTTACCTCCCTTTTCTCCTTTTCTGTATTTCTAAAATGTATCCAATCAATGTGAGTTGCTTTTTATAACTGGAACAAGCTCTTGTGCCATGTAATAGACACACATGCAGCCAAATGTCTTGATCTAGAAGAAGGTATGACCCTATACCTACTCCCGTGCTCTCCTTCTAGCTGTCCAAGCCTGGGGGACCCCCAGAGCAGCCCCTGTGGAATTAGTCCTTCCTCTTCCAAGGCCGAGATGGAGCCACCAGTTTCTCAGAGGATACAGCTCTGGTGCTGGAGTACTACCCCTCTGCCTCAAGTAAGTGCCCAGTGCCCCCCACAAGGGCAGTATTCATCAGGAGATCTGGGACATTCAGGTCATGCCTTTTGCAGAGACAGGCTCAGGGTCCCCAGGAGGCAGGAAGTCAAGTCCCCCAGTGCTGGTAAAAGACTAGAAAGTCTGGCTTGGATTCATGTCCACGGGGCAGCTGCAGGACAAAGCCAGGATACATGCCTACCCCTACTTGGACACCACAAGCTTTCATTATGCCCATCAGTGATAAGGGAGTGTATAGGAAAAGTGGGGTGGGGGAACAGCTGATCCAGAGTCCCATTTACACAGTATAGATCAAGGCCACCAGAGGACAGAGACAAGGTGATTCAGAAAAATATTCATTGATACAGTATCCGCTTAGCGTTAGCTTTGAGCTCATAAAGCCCTGAAGATCCAAGGAGGAGGACCATGTATGCTCAGGGACATGCAGGAGAAGACATGGAGGCAAGGAGAACTAGGTATCTGAATCCAAAGACAGAGAACACATCTGAGAAGTCAAGGCAGATGGAATGGGAGTCTTCAACAGGAGCCTCAGCTGGTCCTTCCTTCACAGTGAAAGGCAGCAAGCCATGGACCTTCAGCCAGCCCCTGGGAACCTCTGTGTTGCCACTGACACCCCATCTATATCGAAAGATGCTGACAGGAAAAAGTTTGAATGGGCTGCATGTGGAGAGGCTCCCCATCACTGTGAGTCCCCACCCCTGACGGGTCCCCCATCTGGTCTCACCCCACCCTAGATGCTACACCTCTGTACACCTATAGAAAGGAATGTGGCTTCTTAACAGCTTCTGTCAGGGTGCCCAGCAGGGAATCCAACTCCTACAGATAGATGTGAGGAGCTCCCCAAAAGACTAGTCTTGTCTATGAGGTTAAAGAGCCAAGCCAGGGTGATCCCCTGGGAGAAGGCATTTGGGGCTCCTGGAGGGTAGTGGCAAAAGTTTTCACTTTCCACTAGACCTAACAAGACTTGCCTTGCCTTGTCCTCCTGAAGACCCTGGGAAAAATGACAACCTTTCTAGATCTCATTCTTCACCTCTAACATGGGAACCACACACCCAGGGACACAGTCTTTCTGAACAAAGAGAACATTGTATTCAGGCCTTAGAGCCAGACTGGTTGGGCCTTACCACTTACCAGCTTACATGTGACTAAATTCCTTTTAGTGAGAAAATTACTTATAGCGTCAATGCCTCAGTTTCCTTGTCTATAAAATGGGCACATAGTAAGAACACTTCCTCATAAGATTGCAATAAGATTTTGTCAGGAAACACATAAAGCACTCAGAGTAAATTCTCAATAAGAGAACTTAAATCCTGGCCACTCCAGAAGCTAAAATGAGAGGGCGGAAAATTGGAAGCCTGCCTGAGCTACACAGTTCAAGGTCTGTCTGAGCAACTTAGTGAGACATTGTCACAAAATAAAAAATAAAAAGAAGGCTGAGGATATATCTCAGTGGTAGAACACTTGCCGCCTAGCATGCTAGCAGGTAAGAGACTATAGGTTCAATCCCCAGGGCAAAAAAAGAAAAGAAAGCAATGATAGGAAAGAATTGTCCTTTTTGTTGTTTTTGATTTTTTTGACATAGAATCTTAAGCATCCTGAGCTAACCTCAAACTTCTATATAACCACACTGAAAACTCCCGATTTTCCTACCCCACTTCCTAAGTGCTCAGATTACAGGTGTGCACCACCACACCTGGCATCATTATCTATTTCTGTGCTACCTTTTCCGTAAATACTTGTGACGACACAGAGGGAGCTTCTGCTCTGCCAGGTGAGTGTGGAGGTGACAGTCAGGTGTCTAGTGCAGTTGAGCATTGTGTGGAGATGGTGAGGGGAGCAGAAGTACAAACTCAGCTCTAGCATCCCTCCCCTCTTCCTTGACATACTCCTTCTCCAGGAACCTGGAACAGTAGGTGGAGCAGAGGCCTGAAGCCAACCTAACCAAGGTGTCTGACTGTCTCTTCTCCTCCCCAGAGCACCTACCTAAAAACCATCAGTGGTGAGGCTCCCACAGTGGATACCTCCTTCCAGTTGCTTTCCTCTGAGGTAAGGAGGGTGGCCTAGAAAGGTCAGATGTGTACTAACTAACTCCCATAACCCCTCAGTGAGTGACAATGTCCTTTCTTTTGGAAGGAAGACTTTGCTGCTCTGGATGGAAGTGCCTAAGGGTAATTTGAGGCCCCAGAAACTGAGAGAATGCCGGGTAATATTAGGCACAGGCAGAGAAGAGGGCAAAGGGACATCCAGACCCAAGAGTCTATCTCTGTCCCAGTCCAAGGCAAGCCTGCTTTTCTGGTATCAAAGTCACATGAAAGTGACAAAGGATATCAGTCCCTTCCTGCTTCATCGCAGACTTAGTAGATAAAAACAATACCGCTTCCTGGTCACCACCTCTGTAGGGAGGTACATGGCTGAAACCAAGATGTAAGCAAGCTATACTTCCAGAACATGAGGAAGAATGTAATCGCAAGTTCTTTTGGGGTGCATATGGACCCAGATCCCAGTAGTGTAGGACTGATGGTCCAGATTCCTTGCTGGCTACCAGCCAGGGTGCTCTCAGCTCTGAGGACTGTCCACATGTCTTCTAACTATGGTTTCTCTCCAGTGATGCCAGAGGGCACATCTAGTCCCCATCACACTTTGAAATTTTGACTTTCTCTTCTGTCAGCAGCCAGAGAAAACTCTGTGCTTTTAATTTTACTTATTATTTATTTATTTATTTATTTATTTATTTATTTTATGTGTATGAGTATTTTGTCTGCATATATGTAAGTTCACCCATGTATGTAATGCCTGCAGAGGTCAGAAGAGGACATTAGATTCCCTGGAACTGTTTTGTGGGTGCCATTGTGTGGGTGCTGGGAACCAAACCCAGATCTTCTGCAAGAGTAGCCAGTGCTCTTAACCACTGAGCCATCTCTCCAGACCGGACTCTGTGCTTTTAAAGGGACTAGATCATCTCCCTGTCTCAAGGTCTATTGTGTCATACAATCCAACAGAATCACAAGAGTGATGACTCATCCTTTAGTGGTTCCAAGGATTAGGGTATGGGATCTTGGTACCCATTTAGGGATTTTGCCTGCCGCAGCAGAGTTGGCACAACTGGAAAGATACGAGGGTACGCCCTGGCAGATGGATAGCTGCTGTCCCTCTAGCCAGCTCCACATAGGTTGAGAGTTCAGCCCAGATCCTGGTCATAGGCTCCAGTATACCTGACACTCACCTATTGGAACTTCCCACTTCCCTCAGAGGCACTAAGATGTGGGCAATTTACCATGAACTCAGGAAATGTTCAAGAGCTGATTACGGCCTAATCTATTCTTGCTAGCTTTCCATGCCAGGAAAAATAGCTACCAGCTTTGGGGTTGCTCTAGGCCCTGTGGCCTTACCTATGAAGAGCATAGGAACTCCGTGGTGTGGGGTATGAGAATATCTGGGAAGGTGCCAGGACAAAAGCCTCTCTCTGCTACAGGTTCAGCACTGTCCTCTAGAGACACTGCCAAGCCCTGGTTCCATGGCACCCCCACCAACCCATGGCAAAACCAAGTGCAAGAAGAAAAAAGCCTAGAAAGGGAAGGTACAGAAAGCAAAAGACCCCAGGCTAGCAAGATAACTTAGCTGGTAAAGTGCCTGCTGCCCAGGCCTGACCACCATAGTTGGATCCCTGGTACCCACATAAAAGTGGAAAGAGAGAACCAATTCCACAAATTTGACCTCTGATCTCTAAATGCCCACTGTGGAATGCTCACACCCATCCACTCCCACATCAGACACACGTAATCATTAAAAAATTGTAGCTCAAAAAAAAGCAAAAGACCCAAAATCAGGGAAACAGGATTCTTTTTTAAAAAATGTTTACTTTATGTGTATGAATGTATTGCCTGCATGTATGTAAGGGCACCCATGTTGTGTAATGCCCGTGGAGGTCAGAAGACAGTGTCAGACCCTGAAACTGGAGTTACAAATGGTTCTTAGTCTCCATGTAGATGCTGGGAACCAAACCTATATCCAATGCAAGAGCAGTCAGTGCTCTTAACCACTGAGCCATCTCTCCAGCCCCAGAAACAGGATTCTTGGAGAAAAATGTGACACCCTTCCTAAAGGAGCCCAGTCTTCCAGGTCCTTTCTCAGGGTCTAGGGTCTGCCAGCAGCCAGTGTCAGCCTCTCTCCACCTCCCTCTGCCTCCTGCCTTGCTCAGGGGTGCATGCACCCTGCAACCGGAGGGAGCACTAGGTACCCCTAGCCATGGGACTGGTGTGCCCAGACAGGCAACAGGCAGGTGGGCAGGACATGTTCCCAATTGCCCAGGGGCTAGGTACAAAGGTCTCCAGTGATGAATTATTCACTGGAGCTGTGCTAAGTGCAGAATTAATCCCTTTCCTTCCAGCTGGCGGCCTCACTAAATTATCCCTCCAAGTCATGCGGGAAAACGCTGCCGAATTCATTTTGCTGCTGAGTGTTTTGATCTGGGCCTTGTGATTTTAGCTTCCCCTTTCCTCAGCCCCCTCCCCCTGGAGGAGGGTAAAAACCCTTTTAGTAATGGATTTCTAAGAAGAAAGGGAAAGAAAAGAAACCAAGATTGGGTGTGTACCAGAAATATAGTACTTGCAGAAATTTAGACCCAGCAACCAAGAATTCATATACACAGGTTCTTTGCATGTATATACTCTCACACAGTCACACATGAATGTGTACAGGTATAGTCACATATGTACAGATATGTACCCACTCACATATCTCCACAAAGTTGCCTTGTATTTAATGCATATGTATACACACATGTGTAAAATGTCAGGCATTTTCACACCTGCATCAGCACATAGAGTCTAATCGCTCTGTAGCGCAACTGTTTCTTGATGACTCCACCTGAGGACTGACTGGTTATTAACCCATATTCTGGAATGTTGAAAACCAATTTAGGGGTGTGCCAAGGATAGTGCTACTGGAAGTGGACTTGATGTCAGGTTCTTGCAGGCACAATGCCTGTCTATTCTTTCATGTTATGCAGACCCCCTCCATGCCAGGTACTGAGCAAAGCAAAAATTTTACCTGACCTTGCAGATTGAAATGGGGTCAGGTCCAGGGGCTATGGAACCTATGTGCTTCAAGGTCACCTTCAGTTAGCTTTGGGCATGGCTTTTGCCTAGTGCCAACACTAGGTCTGTTGACTTCCCACTAAAGTGTGGAAGGAGAGTGTTGAGAATGCATGAAGGGGTCAGGTGGTACTGCAAATAAATCTCAAAGGGCCCCTTCCGTGCCTGCCCACACCTTCACTATAAAGCAGCTGCAAATATTATGCATCAGCCCCTATGTTCTAGAGTTGAGAGATATTACATTGAAAAAGACCAAAAAAGAAAGTCCCTCCCTTCATAGAGATATCAGGGAAACATGGAATAGAATGAACACATATGTTCAAAAACAGATACCAGTGAATGATGCATAGCCTGACGTCACTTAAGGTGATGAACCCAGAATCCCTGGGAAGGCTGTTTGGTATCTCTAAGTAAAAAGTCTGAGTACAGTAGAGCTTAGCTGCTATAAGAGGCCAGGGTTCTTCCACCCTGCTACTCCACCTTAGGGGAGGCTGCAGCTTTGTGGTGGCAGGTCCCTGGTATGCTTCTCTGTGTGTAACCTATGGACCAGTGATAGCAGAGCCTGAGCAAGGACCACCAATTAATTCTTCCCAACACAGCCTAGAGCACCAGGAGCTATTACCGTGAACAAGGTGGCAGAGTGCCGTGTGCATTCCAGCTGCTCTAGAAGGGCTTAGGGTCATAGGTTTCTTGGGGCGCCTGGACTACCTAGCTGATAACTCCATCTTTGGGTAACACCTTACACATGGGCCCGGAGGGCCATAGAGAGGAAGTGCTTCCGGTGCCTGAAGACATAGTCTCTTTCCTGTAGACCTCCAGGCCTAGGGAATTCAGTACAGGCTGTTCCAGTTCATTGGACATTTGGTGAGCTCAGCCGCCCACACCCACCATTTCTACATCACCCACTCTTAGAGTTCAGGCACCAAAGCATGGTGGATTTCCAAGTGGAAACAGGAGAGGTCTCTCTTAACAGCTCACTTGTACAGGAACATCTTTGGCCACATCCAATACCACAGGTGGTCATCCTATCCTTCCCTGTTGCTCTGCATAACAGAGAGCTCACTCTCTGTTAGGAGCGGTCCTTCCCAGGACACAGCAGCTGACATTGTGCAAACCCCTGGCCTCCTGGGCCTCCCTTTGCCCCAGGCTCCTAATTCTGCCTTCTGGGGCTGCAGCATACCCCAGGAAACCTCCTGCACAGATGGTATCATCAGCCAGAAGGCATGCTGACAAGCTGACCAGCAAACAGCCTGCTGGCTCAGTAGTTGGAAAGCATGATCTCTGGTTGGGGATATTGTGCTTTGAGGGGCAGGGGTATTAGAAAAAGGTTTTGGTTTTCCTCTCAGGTATTATTTCTCTGGGCATTTGCTGCCTATGACATCTGCCTTAAGCCAGGGTTCTATGTGTAGCAGAGTCCATTCAGCAAAGCACATAAAACTACATCATGTTGCACCTGCATGTACACAGAAGTCCTGTTTTCCTTAGTCAGTGAAGTTGGCCTTGGAGACCCTGTAGGTGCTAAGAACCCATAGCCACTCCACATAGATATGTAGAAATCAACCGTCGGTCTCCTGCTTTCCCCCTCTGATCTCGGCCTTTTTTACTTTGAAGAGCAAGATGTGTTCACCCAGGAGGCTCTGCTTCTCCAGGCATGGCAGCCTGCCTCCTTCTAATGATCTGGTTCCCAGATCCCACTGCACCCTGGGTGCCCTCCAGCTTGCAACCAGCCTCTTTGAAGTGCAGCCCATGCTGAGCAGCTCTCCCTGGCCTGACCTGGGTCATTTGAAACATGGTGTGCACACAGTAGGTGTTAATTGGGCCCATTCTTGCCCCTGCCTGAAAATGTACTTTCCCATGAATGAGACAGAACAGGGACCACATGGCACCTGGGTGTTCAGCAACATTTCCCTTCTTGGGTTTGGAATTTTCAGGATTCGGTGACTGACCCTGGGT